ACTTCACAACGAAGGGGCGACTGGTTGTCAACAAACAAATTCCCAATTTCATAGCCAATTTCAACTTCACAGCGAAGGATATTGGACTCAAGACAACACAAGCTCAACTTCACAACGAAGGGGCGACTGGTTGTCAACAAACAACTTCTCAGTTTCAGAATCAATTTCAACTTCACAACGAATGATATTGGACTCAAAAAAGAACAAGCTCAACTTCACAGCGAAGGGGCGGTTGATTGTCAACAAACAACTTCTTCAGTTTCATTCAGAGTCAATTTCAACTTCACAGCGAAGGATATTAGACTCGAGACAACACAAGCTCAACTTCACATCGAAGGGGCGGTTGACTGTCAACAAAAACTTTCCCAGTTCCAGAGCCAATTTCAACTTCACAACGAAGGATATTGGCCTCGGAACAGCGCAACTTACATTAGATTTCAACTTCACAACAGAGGATATCCAATTCCCATGCTCAACTTCACAAACAGATTGACCCAACTTCACGACGAAGGAGTTATCTGTAACACCAAAGTCTTCAGGTCAAGTTTCACCTTCACGACGAAGTATCTTGAGCTAGAAGACGATTCAGAGGCCACTCGCCAAGAGCTTTAAGTTTGATTTCAACTTCACGACGAAGGATATCGCGCTTAAAAGCTTCCAGTTCAACTCAACCTCACGATGAGGGAGTCATTTCACATTTCAGTTTAAATTGACAAACCAGTCCTGTATCAAGTTTCAACTCTACGACAGAGGACATTCGATATAGAAGAATTTTGGTGCCTTTTAATCTTTGCTCTATTTTCGTTACATGATAAAGAGCAAAGAGGGGCAGCTGAAGACACCAAATCTTGACCAACTAATGTTACTATTTGAAAATTATATTATATAATAATATTTATATTCATTTTTTTCTTTTACAGGGCCCAAGAATAAATAAACGTTGTAGCCCAACAATAGGTGGCCTAAGTACAAGCCAGCAGACCCAACACACGCAACCCACTGAAGCTAGGGTCCTAGCGAGACTATCATCTAGCGTCGCAATGAGGGAAACCTGTCCCAGCAGAGGACTCCTCGCCATGTAGTCCCCATTGTACACGCCTCCCCAACATCCCAAGTTCTCCGGCGCAAGGAAATCACACGAAGCCAACCGTCAACAACAAGCAAAGCGGCGTATTAGTTTAGGACTTCAACAACCAAACCGAGTTTTACTCGGATTAGAACTCTAAAAATAGGCTTGTGTTTCTATTATAAATAAATGTAACACATTATCACGAGAACACACAATATATTACCACAATGATTTCATACGAAATACGCACAAAAACACACAGAAGAAATACCAAAAAATCCGAGGGATTTCGCGATTTTGGAGCACTTTGTTATAAACATTTCAAGAGAAATAGAAAATGTATCGATTTCTTTTACCTTGTTCATCCATCTGTAGCCCTTGCATGTTGATATTTCCTCAAGATTTGGCTTAAAAACAATAAAAAAACGAAAGGCCGAGGACCCAGGGAGGGGATATTCGAAAAGATCTTGCTAGATCTACCCTCCCGATGCCATTTTCTTTAAAAAGAGCCACTATTTTTTCTGGAAAACGAAACCTTAGTTCTTCGTAGTTGAAGAACGTTCGAGAAAATCAGAGAATGGGGAAGGGTTTCATGAGTGAAGAAGAGGAAATTAAATATTCAGCCAAAATGTTGGCTTATATGCATGACCCATGGGTCATTGGCAGCCCACGTGTTGACCCGCTTCTCACCCTGGACCTGCTTGTTTTCTAAACAAGAAGGGTAAACTCGCTTTTGATCCCCCGTAATTTTAAAGACCTCTATTTTAGCCCCAAATCAACTTTAATCCCCCCCGATTATTTCAAAATTTGGCCCCAATTTTTATCTTTTCTTTCATAGCAGTCCCTTATTTATTATATACATATTTTTATTTATTTCTTTTTGTTAATTCGTATTATTAAATATATATATATTAATTATTTTTATTTTAATATTTTTTTATTTACCTTGTTTAAAGTTATTATATATATATATATATATATATATATATAACTATTATTTTTATTTATTTCTTTTTGTTAATTCGTATTATTAAATATATATTAATTATTTTTATTTTAATATTTTTTATTTACCTTGTTTAAAGTTATTATATATATATATATATATTTATAACTATTATTATTATTATTTTACTATTAACGTATATAAATATATTTTTATTTTTTTCTCTTTTGTTACTATTATTATCATTATATGTATATTCTTTTTTATTTATTTTATTTTATTTCTATTTTTTTCTTTTATTACTATTAACATATGTATACAATAATAATAACAAAACCCTATTCACATATGTAATGAGGTAAGGGAGAGGTATGGTAGTAGGCTACCCCCAACGCCAGGTTGAGAGCAGTTTCCGTGGAAGACCTCCGGCAGTCAGAAAATTAAAAATAAAGATAAAATGTAATGCATGTATAAATAAATAAATGAATAAATAAATATATAGTTGGACACTCTTCATATGCAGTTTTCGTATGCGCGTCTGTAATGAGAAGTAATCCCTGAAAATAAATCTCAATGAAGTACAAAAAATGAAGATTCAAGATCTGCTATCAGATCGTCTAGAAACATATTTGAAACGAAACCTATAATGGTTTCCAGATCTTAAAAAAAGAATAGATTAAGTTGATACCCAATCGTATTTGTTTTACTAGGCTTTTGGGTCATATATATATATATATATATTTAATTATATTTTTATATTTTTTATACTTCTTTATTTTTTGTTTTCATTTATTTATATTATATTATATTATTATTATTATTATTATTTTACTTTATTAAATTGCTTTTCATTATTATATTTATTATATATATATTATCATAATGTTTTTGTTTAATTATTTTTACTATATTATAAATATATATCACACTCATTTATTAACTAGGACCCCACCTCTTATTATTTTTTTTCCTTCCCGTCATTTATACTTCACTAAACCTTGACTTTCTTTTTTTATTTTTCGGTGTAATTGCTTTTTTTACTATTTATTATCATTGTTATTATTTTTACTTAATAATTATATATTTTTATTTCTTTTTTAGTTTTTCATCATTTATTTATTTATTTATTCCATTATATTTTCTTTATTTTATTTACTTTTATTTTTTCCTATAATGCGTTTCTCAACTTTTTAAGGGTACACTTTCAAATCGATCGGAGGTAAGTAATTTTGGATCGTTATTTTACCTTTTAAGTTAAACTTACAATTTTCTTATTTAATGACAACTGGAAATTATGTAGTACCGAAATGGAAGTTCAAGGGTGCTAACCCTTCCTTGACTGTAACCGACTTCCGAATACGACATATCACTGGTAAGACGCAGATCAGGTAAGAAATAAGGTATTCGATCAGCCCATTTTTAATAAAATAAATGATCGGTGGCGACTCCTAACTTATTTTCTTAAGTTAAAATCCAATTCGAGGCCTAATCGAAAGACGGTTCCGACGTATTCCAAAGATAAAAGCCATCGCCTCGGTTGATTTTGGAGTTTGAGGAGGGTCGAGATTCTGAGCCATGCCGCCCACTACCATCCCATGTGGTCACGAGCAACGATCCCTATTCCCTACTACCGCCTCTCCAGATTATGGGAAATAAGCGCCGTCAACATTAATTTTGATAACTCCCTCATCGGGGTTGCACAATCGCGTCTTATGTGGAGCACGCATCAAAGCAGCATCAGGTTTGGACGTAGCCCTTTTTTAATGCTTCCTTAGCTTTCCAAATGCTCGACCAAGCAAAGGAACCTGTCGCACTAATCTTAACTTCAAGAAAACTTGTGTTGGGATAATATTCAAACCTGATTTTCAAGGACGATAATATTAAAAAGCTTGAGATTTCGAAAGTTCATATATCCTTCTCTTTTAACCTGACAAACTTGATTCCACACTACGAGAGCCCATCCACTTAACCCATCACGGCTCGACCACCAAAACATACGCATAAGTGAAATAATAGAGTCGAGAATACCATTCGGAAGAAAGTAGTAAGACATGGCATAAGTGAAGTAATAGATCTCGTTTTCGTTTTTTAAGTGTTCACTTTTGGTCACTTGATTTTAAATGACATTAGTTTGATAATGTAATATACTAGCAAAAAGCTTAATTTTTAATTTTATCATTGAATTTTATATAAAATACTAATTTAATCTTTTAATTTTAGATATACTATTAATTTGACCTTTGAACTTTAGATAAATTATTAATTTAATTCATGAATATGATCAAAATCTTTCTTTATCAGTTGATGTTTAACATCGTCGCCAATCATCACCGATCATCATTGTCAACAACAGTTGTATCTCATAACTTTAGATTTTATCTTATACAAAAATGAAATCATGGACAAATACATTGAAGATATTCTTCTTAAGGTTGCACTTCAAGTTACATATAGTGGTCCATGTGTGACATACATTGACAAAGATGGATATGGTAACTTTATCAATGTGATTCATAGTGAAATCTAAAGTTTAAAGATCATATTAAAAATAAATCATTTTTACTAATTTATCATATCATAAAATTAATTATATTAATTTTTTAGTGATCATACGTTATATATCGATAACACAAGTAGTTAAAATGTAATTTTCTTAAACATGGTCGATTGATAACGCAAGTAGTTAAAAATGTAATTTTATTAAATTTGATGACAAAAATGAACACTTATAAAATAAAAGCGATCATTTTGATAGTTTACCCTAAAAATTAATATTGTGTTCTGTTGGGATGTGTCTCTCTAAAAGACATTTGCAAGCCGCGATAGCATAGATTCTTGTTCTCATAAAATTAAATAATAATATTTTAAATTAATTCAGAGTGTCAGGCCAATCGTTTTCCGCCACATTTCCGTTCCTTCACAACGTGTAGATTTTATAACATCTGTGGACTCGAATCTTTGCCATTTTCTTCCCTCGGTTTCCCCTCTTTCCTCCTTTTTATCTCCGATCATCTCTGTTCCTTTAATTCCTCTTTTGAAAACTTTTAATAAAAATAATTTATCTTAATGGCTAAAACATCCGCCACCTTCTTCTGTTCTTTCTTTCCCTTTCCTTCCCTTTCTCTATGGAGAGAACCCAATTATTCTCTCCCAAATTCCTTCAGATTCTCCAATCGTCCCTCTCGATTTATTCGTTTCTCTTCCAAAGCTTCAGATTCCGGCGGCTTCGTTGGTGATGATTCTTTTGGTTTCTTTCCTTGGTCCCCTTCCGAAAATGGTATTCAGAAATGTTTTTTCATCGCAGTCAACGGAACAGGGACAAGATATATGTATTTTTATAGATTAATGTTGCTTCTTTTACGTAACGAAATAGATAATTGAATTGAATTGATGAAAGAGTCATAGGTGTTGAGGATATTGGGGCATTTTTTTTAAGTTTTGCGTTGTGGTTTATATTATTGTTCTATAAAGGGTCATAGCTGTTAAGAATTGAATTGATTTGATGTTATTGTTCTTTGTATTTAACTGGAATTTGCAGATGTGGAATGGGTTCAAGAGGAGAGAGTCACTTTGTTCACTTCAGAAGGATTAATTCAAATCGGAGGTTCAATGATTCCGCGGCGTATAGCTACTTCTGATGTATGTGTTCTTATTACCTTGTTATTACTCTTTTATTACTCGGTCAAATTACTGTTTCCGTCGCTGCACTACACTCAATTTGGTGGCTTAGTACCTGTATTTGATTCAATTATGGTTATCAAAGTAGTTATTTTCTACTAATTTAGTTATTTGGACCAATGCATAACATTAATAATTAGGACAGATTTATGCCAAAAATATGGGGATTTGATCCCTAGATTGAGTATAGCACAGAGATGAAAACTATAATTTGACTATTCTAACACTGAGTATGTACATGCATACATACATATCTGTCTTTAGGAATAAGTATAAAAGTACCTTTATTTGAGAATGAAGATTTCAAAATATGGGAGAATATTCTTATAACTCTTTCATAGAGTATTTAAGAGTCATCAACGATTATGTTGTTAATTGACCTAAGAAAAATGGAACTTCGAACTTAGATGGTATATGGGACTCTAGTCTTAACATTTGTTTCATTGGTTCATCTTTTTTAGAATATGTAGTTTATTTGGATTTTGGCTGAACAATTTTGTTATATGTGCAGAAGAAACAGGGGAAGTCAAAAGCATCTCAAAGATTACAACGGTTTCAAGAGAGTAATTACATGGATCCTAACCAAGGCTTATGTCTAGGTGCTCTTTTCGACATTGCAGCGACAAATGTAAGAAACTTCCATGCTGTTAATTTGTTATAAACTTGAGGTTTCAATCCTAAAATACTTAAGACACGTGGTTTGGCCAATCTAGGGACTTGACATGGGCAGACGGCTTTGTATCATTGGCTTTTGCCGTTCCATTGAGATGCTCAGTGATGTTGTAGAAGATACTGTTTTAGAGCATGGTGGGGAGGTATGCAGCATTGGACCAGAATCATCTTTTCTTAAATCATTACCACATTTCAGTTTTACATGCACAAAGAAATTGAGTTTAAAATAGTACCCGAGACCTTCTAAACTAATATTTCATAATATTGCCTTAACTTTTAAGATTCTCTCACCATATCTTTTGTTTGAGCTTTTTGTTCCTTTGTTTTATCAGGTACCAGAGTCCATGTTAATGTTTTAGTTATTATATTGAAAGCTTGATAGGACTAGTCAACTAGCATCTAAAACTTGGAGTAAGCAATCTTTTGTTTGTTTAGTCAAGGACTCAGGTGTAAGTATCAGGTATGATTTATGAGTATGGATCTGAAACGGATATGGTTAGTTTTTTTTATATATTTTATCTATGTATTTGGAAGATCTTTAGAGTTCATGTCTCCATATCCATGTGTCAAACACGGATATTCAAGAAAAATTGAAGAGTTCGAGCAACAAAAGTTCACAATTGGTAGTTGTTGACCCCATTCTCATATTCAATCAGACATACAAGTCTGATATATTTACTAAACAAATCATGAAAATGTATTTGCTGAGTTTTCCGGGTAGAATCCTCAGCTTTGAGTGGTCTTCCGTTTTAGTAGCTTTCTTAAACTTTGAATCAAAACCAATATGATATGATTAGAAACCTATTGGTTAACCTTCAAAATGTTGTTTTATGCCCTCCTTTCTAAACTGTTCTCTTACACGTATCGCGACATGCATTCGTATGATCATTGCCTGCTGATCCTTGGAAAGGTCTGCTTGCCTTATTGTAGCTACTTGTAGTTTTGAGATATTCACATCTATCCATAATGTTCAGGTCGTTGCAGCGGAGAAAGCCATCAAAGGTGGATTGCACGAAAAGCTTACCATGACAGTTGCAGTGCCATATCTCTGGGGTGTTCCCCCTGCTTCCGATACGCTTCACCTTGCCGTAAGAAGTGGTGGAGGGATTGTTGAGAAGGTTTATTGTCAATGGGATTTTTGTAAATAATTCATGAATTTCTTCTAACCATTATTACCTTGTTGTCTCCCTTTGTGCATGCTGTACATATAACTGTTGTATTCGTTTATACAAAACAGAATGTTGTATTTAAACTCACCAACCCAATTCATTACTTGGGAATTCATTGTCCATATCCAATTGATTATTCTTAGTTTTCTGTTTATGCCATCATCCTTGACTGCTTAATATTTAATAACCTCTAAAATCATTAACTGATTATTTTATTATCAGATTCTGACACGAAATGTTTGAGATGTTACATGTTTTCAGTTTTTCCGTCTTAGATTGCAACTTTATTTTTGTTACTTTGAAAATATCTAGATTTTAACTCACGCACATTTGCAAACTATGCTATTCGAACCCAGATCATCAAGGGAGAACAAAATTTCCTGAATCACCGATACCACTTCAAAGGTTCTTAGATTGCAACTTAACTAACAGATCATGGATGTCTTTTTAGAGTTTAACTCAACACAACGTCACGTGAGAAACAGCTTTGGTTTGTTCTTTAACATCGCTATTTCAATCACTTTCATGTCGATATGCCTCTGTTTTTAGCCAGGGAAATGGAAGCAGCGACAGAAATTAGAAACTTGATCAGTATGAGTAAACAGGTGATCATCTTTAACAAGAAAAGACAAATGCTTAAAATCTAGTATACAACATGATCTATGTACTTATAGCTTCCAGTATATGCCCAGTTTGTGCAAGATGCCCGAAAGGACTCCGTAGAACACAATTTCCGCAAATATCACGTACAAAAGGGTCCCTAACCGCACCGAGTGCCAAACGTTGTTGAAAATGTGTTTTTGGATCCAAAACACCTGAACATATATACAGAAAATTTCATGAAATTGTGATTATCCAGTTAGTAGTTTTTAATCTTAAAAGAAAGGGTGATTGATGTTACTTACAAGGGTATTGTTTGTTGACTCATAATACCATCCGTTTACAAATGCAGGAAGGATGCCTTGCGCCCCAAGCACATATATCAGCATTGCGTTCATGCCTATCCATTCCAGGAACAAAAATGGTGTCCTCAATCCCCAAACATCAATCTGTTTCATTTATTTCACCAATGGAACATTGGAAAGTAGGATCCGTTAGCATTGACGAATAAGAATACGATGAGTTCAAGAGTATGAAATTGTTTTTACCAGGATGTAGAATGCTGAGAATACGATCCCGGCTGCACCGGCAGTGAAACACACATAGCTGAAGCTGTAAAGCTGTTTGTTGATGGGAATGGCTACAAATTTGCAGAGAGAAAAAAAATCGGGTTTTAGATATCAACTTTGCGTAGTTAAATGGAAACTGATTTCAGGAGCCTCACCATCTGTAAAATGAAGAATGATGGCCACTATAAGTAAGCCTAATGCCATTGGTACCCATTGCTTGAGCCTCTCTGAGTGACCCTATAAAAAGAACACTTTGATTTTTCAGTTCCCTGGAAACTACAATCCCATGATACATATTATAGTTTCAAAAGTTTCTAACCTTGAAATGAATTAAAATGTGTCCATAATGGATTCCGATAGTGCCGGAGAGGATAGCTGAAATTGAACTAAGAAAGAACAAGAACCAATAAAACCACTGCATATGGATAATGTTTACAATGAAGTTATGGTTAAATAAAGTATACCTTAGCAAGCCTTCTGGTTCGAATGGTGCTCGGCACCAACTCGGTGCATCCTCACGGAAAGGACCTGCACTTGGAGAACTATGAGTGCAAGCCTACAATTTTGTTGAAACAAAGTAAAATATCAGATGGTAATCAGTGATGACTCGGCTAATGTATTGCAGATTGAAGCTCACAAAGGACTAACCTTTAGGCGTTGCCAGACCGGATAAGCATAAAGATGGTTAATGCCCCAAACCTCTCGATCAACGTAACCGACGGCATTGCAAGCGGGTCCTAAGTGTCCTCTCATCCCACATTTTACCTTAAAATAGCAGAGCATGAAAAAAACAGTCGATTGTTAACTGAAGTCTGGAGGAACTTGATAAACCTTATGCGTTAAGGTTTTGAGATATAATATTCGTGTGATACCGTGTATCGTGTTGTTTTGTCGTCTGTCTTTACAACAAAGCTCCAATCTGGGACGTATAGTGAATATGTTGTGACCATGTAAATGACAAAAGCAATGAATCCTCCAAACCTAAATTTTCAATTAGACAAAAGGATTGTAAACTTTAGGTGAACTTCGAAGCAAGGATACCGATCAGTGAGTGTCATCAAATACCGGCACGGTGTATATCGGTACTTTAGGAAAATGAAGAGTTCGAATAACATCGATTATGATTGGAAACATAGAATCTGTGTCTTCGTTTACCATTGCCAGCGGTAAGCAGTGAAAATTGATGAATATCCAGGTTTCAAAACTGTTGGTCTGAGCTTTGTGGTGAGAGTCTCTATTAAAGCTACAATGAAGTAAACCAAAGCTATTCTCTGTTTACACATAAGAAATTCATAATTAGCTGATCGATCCATTTAATTACGCAATCGCCATTCGATTCTGCTAAAGATGAAAGATGTTATGACCTGGAGGATTCCACACCATCGGATTTGTTTCATGTCAACTCCATAAACGAGATCATTTGGTGCATGGGAGTATCCACCTGCAGATTTCAATTTCCTTAAGATTGGTTTCTAAGTTTTTTTTTTTTACATATATTTGGAGAATTATATCCCAGAGTTATATATCTGAATATTTGGGAGTGATGACTACCTTGCAACAAAACTCCCCAAAATAGAAGTTTTAGAGTTCTCAAGCATATCTTTCTAATTGCATCCTTTACCTTGGGAATTTTCTGCAACAGGTAATATCTATTAGAAAAACTGAAAATTAAGGGGGTATCGTTTGAAATCTATACCTTGAGAGCCAACGCAATGGCCACCCCAACAATAAATAGAAAAAAAGGCATAACATAGTCGGCCAGTGTGCATCCATTCCATGGCGAGTGATCAATCCGAGCATATGCTCCCCCAGCATCATCTACCAATATCATCAGCTACATCCACAGATCGAAAATTTGAGTGCCGAAACTATCAACAATGATAGAACTGAATTCGAAAAACTCGAGTAACTTGCAACTTGCGAGCACTCACTTACCACGATGGTGAGTCCTCTAAAGGCATCCAGGGTCGCAATCCTCTTTGTCTTTTGCTTTACTAATGGTGGTTGTTGTTGCTGCCGCTCCTGCAACTGCAACTGTTGTTGTTCTTCAACCAGCTTGTCTTCCTTTTTCCCCATGTTTTCTATGTCTTCTCCTGCATGATCCACTTTTGAACGAGCTAGCCCTTCTTCCATCTTTCCAGGATCCGCCATGAGTTACTGTAAAGCAAGGATATACAAAGTAGGAAAAGCTTGGGGGATGACAAAAATGAAGGCAAAGAGAGACAAGTTTATAATCCGAGAGGTGGCCGGCAATAGTTGGTGCCTAAAGAGAAACGGTGGGGCCTAAATAGATACTTCAAAGTTAGAGTGAGACAAAAGGATAAGGGTTGATTCGGACCAATCAAAGAACAGGTAATGGCCGTTTAAGACATGAAACAGGTCCTCTGATTCCATGGTGGGTGGCTAGCAACTGTCATAACAGCGTGAGAATTGGGATGGTAAAAAGAAACAAACTAGTGGTAGAATTTGGGTTTAACACAGTAATTTCAATAGTATTAATTTAAACTGTCGAGTACCACGCTCCTGTTTTGTCCCCTTAGCTGTTTCCTCTAGTGTTTGATAGGAATCATAGTGCGAGAGAATCCATTGGAGCGGGTAGAAAACATAGTTTATTTCCGCGTAAGTTTAATTTAAAACTTTTAAGGTTGTCTTAGCTGTTTGATTGTAATTATCACTTCAAAAGATCATAATTTTGTTTTTAATGATCAACAACATGAGAGGATACGAATCCAAGAGTAGATACACATAAGGATAGACATTTCACTCAAATTTGATTTTGATCTGACTCGATTCCTTTCGGTCAGGTTTTTTTTTATGAAAAATTAATATTCGGGTTAGATTTTTTTGAAGAATGGGATTGGGTCGAGTTCGGTTTTAGAGTAAAAAAAAATCCAACTTGACCAAACCCGAGATAATATTATAAATATACCTAATATATTTAGGGATAATTACAATAATCTCTCTTTCATTATTATTATTTTAATTATGTCCTTATATTACTCAATAAAAATTATATATATATATATATATATATATATATATATATATATATATATATATATATATATATATATATATGGGTCGAGTGCGAGTTTTAACCTCAAAATCAGATTGGATAAAAGCCTCCTAAACCTAAATCAGATCGAGTGCAAGTGGAGATGTTTAATTTTCGAGTCAAGTTTGGTGTATAAAAAACCCAACCGGACTAGACTCATTGTTAGGTACACACCTACCATTGTCAATCTAAATTGTCAAATTACATTATTAGTCCTTCTAGTAAAAGCTAAAGAATAAATTAATCCCACTACACAATTTTATCTAGAGAAAATAACCTCAGTGACCAAAAATCCCATATAATATACGATTTTAACCAACTTTTTCCGGATTTGCCAAAATGACCAACAAAATCGCAATGCGATCGCTAATTCGCAACGCGATCTCCATTATCGCAAATCAGTTTCCAAATTCGCAACGCGATTATGACTATCGCAATGCGATTTTCCAATTTCGCGTTGTGATTTTCCCAATTCGTAATGCGAATAAGTAAATCGCAATGCGAATTTGGAAAATCGCAACGCGATAATACAAAATCGCAACGCGATACTGAATTTCGCAACGCGATACTGAATTTCGCAACGCGATACTGAATTTCGCAACGCGATACTGAATTTCGCAACGCGATACTTAATTTCGCAACGCAATACTGACTTTCGCAACGAGATAATACATAATCGCAATGCGATTTTCAAAGCGCCATTAGTATCGTAAAGCGTATTTTATTTTCAAATTCCAAACACGAATATTAATATATTGGAACACTGAACCGTCCACAGTATATCCCGTAATTGCAACTCATAACCTAAAACCTAAAATCACAACTCAGTCTCATCTCCATCTCTCACTCTCTCACCCATCTCCGACGAAATCCGTCTCCATCTCCGGCGAAATCCGTCTATCTCCATCTCTCAGAGCCACCCTCACAATCAGAAATGGAAAATCAACCAAATCAACCACCGAGGGTTAGTTTTTTTAATTATTTTCTTTTTGAAATTTTTGCATTATTATTAGGTTTTTCATATTGAAATTGATGATAAGTTTACTGGTAATTTCAATAATAGATTAACCATTTCACTTAGATTGCTTATTAAATCAACCGAGAATCGCAACACGAAATGAAAATCGCAACGACAAAATCGCAACGCGATTTTATTCTCTCGTTGCGATAGTCAAATTCGCGTTGCGATTGCTATTTTTCGTGTTGCGATTTTCATTTTCAGAAACTATTCTTCTTCTGCAAATTGAAACTTGAATGAATTGCATTACTTCAACCAAAAAACAAAGACAAATAAGAAATTCACAGTGTTGCAAATTTAAGTTTGAAGAATAGACTACTACTCTTTATGTTTATTATTGTTTTTGGTATATCTTCACAGTGTAGTTTTTGGTATATCTAACTTAGTATGTTTATTGTTTTTGTAGAACTTTTATTCGGCTCAATTGACCTTAAGAAATAAAGTCAGCCTGACCAAAACAATTGCGTCGAAGCTTTCACCTGCACAAAGAAAAATGTTTGAGGATACTTGCTTCGGGCCATGGCTGAAAGTACAACATCCCGGTGGAGATGCGATGTTGACACACATGTTTCTTCAAACCATGACTAGCGATCTACCAGATACTATACAACGTCGTGATGAAGAGATATGGTTTGATTTTCCACCGGCGTATACGTGTTTTGGGCGGGAGGAGTTTTGCTTAATCACCGGTCTACGCTTCGGACACGATGATGTAGGTCGGTACACTAGACACATTACCCGCCCATCATGGTTATCCCGGGTTTTTCCTGAGATGGAGAGGTCGAATCTACACGTGGAAGACCTGACGAGATTATTGAATAAGAAAGATGGTTTTACTCGGATGGATGACGTCGATGTTGTCCGAGTATGCCTTCTAATACTTTTGCATGCCGACTTTTTAGGCAGAAAGGCCAGACAACCTATTCCGAATGATCTAATCAAATTGGTAGAAGACCTAAATGCGTGGAACCTGTTTCCGTGGGGCTCGTATTTATGGAAAGCTACATGGAATAAGTTATCGTCTGCCTTGGATGATCGAAAAAGTTTGCATGACGATGGTTCCAAATGCACTTTGACAGGCTTTATTTGGGCCTTTAAGGCAAGAATTTTTATATAATGTTTCCAAAATTATAAGTAATTATTTAACAATTACTAATGTTTGTTATTATATTGTTTGTAGATTTGGATATTTGAGGCCTTTCCCGCCATGAAGACATATGCAATAAAAACTTCAAATGATATTCCCAGGGCTATTTCCTGGAAGAGGAAACAGACCTTGCAATGGGAAGATTTACTACGGTATACGACAATAAATAATGTAAGTTAACATAAATACTACCATATGTTTATAAACAAGTTATTACTAGTACACGTTTAACTTTGTTTGAGCTTTTATATTGTTAGGAGGCCAACACTCCATTACAGAGGCTGACACCCACGGAAGCTGAGCTTGCCACTGATTGGTGGCAAGCTAGTAAGCATTTTTTTGATGGCACGGATGATGAGCAGCCTCTACTTCGGGAGCCATCACCTCACCCAGAGCTATCACCTCACCCAGAGCCATCACCTGATCGACCCGACTATACATTTCCACAACGACAGCCATCACCTATTCTGTCACATCATCGAGCCTCTTCTCCACCATCACCGCAAGATAGACGACCGGCAAAGATGCCACGACGTTTATCTCCCTGTTCTCCACCTCCACGGGATGAGTTAGGGGAGTTACGTGATGAGGTCAATGCCTTGCGTGAGGAGGTCGGTACTTTACGCAAAGACGATGGTGCATGGCGTGTTGAGGTGTCTACTTTACGCGGTGAGGTAGCCGCTCTACGTGAGATGGTAGCATCGTTGCAGAATGAGGTTCATACTCTACGCAACGAGGTAAGTTTAAGATTTTTCATATTTAACTTGATGATAAATTTACTCGTAATTTCACTTAGATTAACCATTTCACTTAGATTGCTTAATAATTTCATTCAGTTGCTGCCAATACTGCTAAACTATTTTTGTTAGTATTTGTTTTTGGTTTTGTTTTTGTCTTTTGGTTGAAGTAATGCAATCCATTCAAGTTTCAATTTGCAGAAGAAGAATAGTTTACTTTCGCAACACGAAAATGACTATCGCAACGCGGAAATGGCTATCGCAATGCGAAATGAAAATCGCAACGAAAAAATCGCAATGCGAAATGAAAATCGCAACGCGAAATGAAAATCGCAATGCGATTTGTGTTTCGCGTTGCGATTTTCATTTTGCATTGCGATTTTGTCGTTGCGATTTTCATCTCGCATTGCGATAGCCATTTCTGCGTTGCGATAGTCATTTCCGCGTTGATTTAGTCATTTTCGCTTTGCGAAAGTAAGTTTCGTGTTGCAAAAGTAAACTATTCTTCTTCTGGAATGTTTATATATGTTGTCCTTTTAAATGTTTATATAAGTGCTTACTTCTGGAATGTTATCTGATGCATTTTGTGAACTATGATAGAATAATGACTTGGGTGAATACAATGCAAGTTTGAAACATATTTGTCTTTGTTTAATATCATGTCTGTTTATTTACTGATTTATGTATTAATTTTTTTAGCGGCCCGATAAGGTGGATGCTTTACGTCGGATTTTCCTTGCACGACGGAGTTCACGCATCAGACGGTGTGCACGTGCTATTACGTCTCCGTTCACCCCAATGGTGCGAAGACTCCGCAAGAAGAAGCCCGACTCACCTGTCATCCCTCAAGAGTCCCCTCCAATCGTTCAAGAGGCCCCTATCATCCCTCAAGAGTCCCCCCCACCGTTCAAGAGGCCACTGTCATCGTTGAAGAGGTCCCTCCCACCATTCCAGAGCCCGATTCATATGGGGTAATATATCGAATTATTGAGAAACCCCCACCGTTGTCGGACATGATGGATGAGAGTTGGCTCTCGTATGAGTTATCGGCTAGTACCCTTCCGGTATCTGAAGTGGAGAGGAGACAACTACCGGAAACAATTCTAGATAATACCCTTTGGGCTAAGACCGCAGTTGATTTTTATCTACATGAGCGGAGCTAAGGGTGTTACACTGACATAAGCAAACTCAACGATGAGATATATTTGTTGCTTAATCGGTCTTGGTGGGGTGTGTTATTAGGGGTTGAAGACAGTGGCTATTTCGATGGGGAGGTAAGTCTTATATTTGTCTTATATATGATTTTGATTAATTTTTTTAAAAAATTAATGTAATTCACTAATATATGTTTTTTTTGTAAAACAACATATCGATGCGTGGGTGTCACGTCTTCTAATAATAAGGAAACTTAGGAAAAATAAAAAAAATTCGCGATATATAATAATGTCGGCGGCTTTTCACGCAGTTCACTTGAAGAATCAATGAGATGAATCATTTTCGTTGGGCAATGGACAAGCTAAACTTTAT